CGAAATATCGCGTCTTACATTCTCGTGATTTAAAATCTCAATCACATAAAACCAATGGGGCGTGTTCGAATTTGCCCGGCTTGGCTTAGAGCTGTCTATCACAGAAATATATTCAAAAGCTGAAGATTTATTCCAACAACTTGCGTTCAATTTTAAATATTTCGGGGATCAGGATTTATTCATATGCGGAAAATATGATTTTTATTTAATTTTATTAGTAAATGATTGTTTACTTTTATCATACCTACCCAAATTCAATTTTATAAAAATCAATAGAGTTGTGCAGCAAATAGATGACATTTTCTTCCATTGTAACCGTTCATGTAAGGTTCATCGGGACCCGAATAGCATTTTCCTGACGTCCGACTAAATTTCAATTGAATCCAACATCGTACTAAATGAGGATTGATAAAGATCGATCGATAATCTTATATTTTTGACATTATTTAATCAAACACAAGAATGGCTGCCCAACGTAAACTTCCTGGTGAGTGATCAAACTTCAAAACACGTGTAAGATTTTGAGTCCTTCAATAGACACAGAAGAAGAGCCAATGTGACAAATAAAAGCTGACGTATGACAGAATAAGGACATGTATATGTTTTCCACTTTCAAACAAACATCTGAGCCCTAACTGAAGGATTATGATTTTATTCTACTATCATCTCCAAGAAAAAAAAAAAAAAAAATATATATATATATATATATATATATATATATATATATATATATATATATATATATATATATATATATATATATAAAATAAAAATTAAATTTGGTACACAATTATTTATTTTTTTTTTATTATTGATATATCTTTACAAACACCATCATGGAGGTAATTACAAGTAAAGCCATAAGGAATAAAAAAGAGAAAGAAAAAATAGAGATAATCACAACAGCTACTTAACTGCATAAATAGATAAGAAGGAGATGGCACAAATAACATGAGCGGTGGCCACCGGCTAAATTGGTTGGAATTTTAGTATGTTAAATGTTTAAATCGAACAAATTTTTCTATGGGGTAAGGCCACAAATCGCAATTGAAGTTTAGAAATCCGTAATACCGATTTAATTATTATGGACATCACAGAGGTTCAATTGCAACGATTTTCGAGTAAGTTGTTTAACAAAATTAGGCATTTCTATTTTTGGTATGAGAACCAATAACTTTTATCTACAGAGTGGTCAAAAACCAAATAGTTACGCGGGATGAACTTTTTGACTGAAAATACGCCTGCGAAGTGAGTATCATTTTTATATGAAATACTCTGTTTGATGTTTTATTCTCAATAATTTTAGCTTAACCTGTTTATTTTAATAAAGTTTAAATAGCTCATAATTAATTTTTTCAATTTTTGACCACCCTGTAGATAAAAGTTAATGCGATTCTCATACCAAAAATAGAAATACCTATTTTTGTTTGACAGCTTACTCGAAAATCGTTGCAATTGAACCTCTGTATTCTCCATAATAATTAAATCGATATCACGGAACACAATCACACACAAATTTTATATTAATAGGTACAATAACCTCTGTGTAAAAACAAATCGAATTATGGCAAATCAAAAAATAATAAACCTACCTTTCTAAAATAAATACATAAGTACTACGTAATATTTGAAATTTAATTCAAGCTATGAATCAGAATAATAATTTAAAAAAGAAAATGCAAGGGAGGTTCTTTTATTGGATAATATTATTCACGAGTAGATAGGAAAAATTTACCAAGCATATATTCAATATATCGATATCGCAATTTTTGCTGTATGTATATGTATATTGTAGTTTATTTTTTGTAGCGCTAAGCCTTTCTCGAAAAGTACCCACTCTGAAAAATCGTAATATCAAATCCAATATGTATATTCAATATCATAACGAAAAATTCCACTCAAATGTGTAACAATATGAAACAAAATATAATCCGAAAATTATTCCGAATGGGTTTGTAAGTGGGATTTAAAGGAAGGAGATTAAAAAGTGCGTTGGATAGAGGGGTGTGGAAGCGTATCTCTTCATACGCACGAATTTTCCATCCAATGCACGTCGAACCGGGATAGTTGAAAGGTAAATGCCGAGCAAATATTTGTCGGAGATAATTACACCAGTGCCTAAGAGACGGGAAATTTCATTGACGTACGTCTAAAAGGTTATAGATATAGTATGTTTATTCAAAAAATAACTCGCGAAGAAGCTTGAAGTAAGTGGGCACAGAATGAGTTATTCTTTTTTTTTTGTTAATAAGACGTTCTAGAATTAATTGAACAAATGGTTTGACAGAACGCGTTTTTTGAACGTTCATGGGTTGTCCATTGAAGCATCCGTGAACTTCTCAAAGAAATGCAAATGTCAAAACTTCGAACTCCATAGACCGGAACGGACGTTTTTAAAGCGTTCCAGAGACTAAAACGTCAATGGTTTGACAAAAGACGGGATATCTTCTACCGCAACCACAAACACCAACATCCAACAGACAAACAAATGAATATTTTGAAGTTGAAGCAAAAAAAAAACAAGAGTTGGTAGCAGAATATAATGGGCGTAGAAATACATCAGGTGATTCAAAAACACTGCTAAGTCATATTTGTAGTTCAGAGAGAGATGTTTTGCAATTTAGCTCAGACAGGGGTTTTATTCATGGGGTTTCAGGGGCTTATCCAACGCCGTCATGATAACCAAAAACCGCCAAATATGTAAATATTTGATTCCAGTGACGCAACATTGCCGGTGTCAGTGTCGCAATGTTATGCAATCTGACGGATAAAAAAGCAATTCATGATCCTATTGGTTGGCCAAAAACTAGTTTCGTATGTTTGTCTTGTGAACGATGAACAAACCGGGGGTCAATATTTCAAACGACGACACTGATGCGGCATTCACCTACTGCCGCGACATTTATGACATGGTTCAGTGTGACCGTCTGAACGAGTCTAATCAATTTTTCAAAACTTGCAAGCAACGCCATGGAGTTCGCCAACATGATCTTTTTGCTTCGGAGATGGAAAATTGGATTACAGACGACCCTAGTACTGAAAGATTGTTCGATTTAATCTATTTTATCGAAGAAACACATAAATCTATTTATAATTGAAAAATAAAAAATAGAGCCATTTTACGAGGTTTGGAAGTCAGGAGAATATATAAACATTTTACTGATATCATTAAATCCATGAATAAGTTGGAATTTCCGGGAGAAATTCGAACGTACGACTGCCATTAATCCCGAATGAGAACACTTCCTCCTGGTCCGTGAAAGCCTCACATCCTAACTAATATTATAAATGCGAATGTGAGTTTGTTTGTTTGTTTATTTGGCTGTATGTTTAATTAATTTAATTAATTATAAAGAAACTCATTCACATACATATATCCACTTTTTTTTGACATCAACATGAAACAACGTTGCCACATTTATTTAAGTTGGCGCATTCAACCGACGTAACCGTATTATTTTTTACGCTGTGTCTAGCCTCCCGGAACCAGTATTCATACGAATCCCGGTTACGGCGCGTTTTCAATGACGTCATCAACGACCGCCGGGATTTATCGTGGATCCCGGCTATTGGATTCAAAATTCAAAGTCGTGTTTCTCTTGCTGCTTGAGGCTGTAAACAATTCCGGATTAGCTTTTGTGTATTATTGTTTCTTGTTATGATATTGGTATTAGAGTGGTGTGGAAATAGCTATATGGTTTATTTTTATTCATTATTCGGAGCTTTTTTAACACCCTGTATCTCTGAAATAAGGTACTTTCGGACCCATGTTTATAGGAGCTTTTGCTCTTAATTTTAGATGTAGAATCCGCGGTTAAAATATCAACCTCTAATTTTGGGGCACCCTGTGTGATGTTGCTGAACAATAACGGCGTTGCTATACAAGATCAAAATGCTGTACAATTCAGCGAAATGACAGAATTACCCGAGGCGAAATGCTGTATTGTATGTATGATCTTTCGTACAACGTTCAAAAAATACCAAAATTTTCTAAAAATTGAATTTGTTTGGAAAGTAAGCTGTGCATGAACAATTCATACCAAAAAGTTGTAGTGATTACTTCAGAATTTATTTATACCTATGTTCGAATTATACCTATGTATTCCATGTAGGTACATATAATAAAAGTCATAATTTTATTTCCCATAAATAAAAGCTTATCGCGCTTAACTTCGTTTACTTTTTTTACCCTACTTAATAATTCTGCCCCAATAACAATGAACATACTTGTTAACATCTTGTATTGCAATAGCCGGGATCCACGACAGTTACCTGTGGTTGTTGATGACGTCATTGAAAACGCGTTATAACCGGGATTCATATGAATACCGGTGCCGGAAGGCTAGACAGCGTATTTTTTATTGAAAAATATAAAACTTTAAATTTTTTATTAAAAAATATAAAAATTCAAATATAATAAAGCTGAAGAGTTTGTTTGTGCGCTAATATCTGGAACTACCACTGACTCATTCAGTGATTCACTTATCACGAGATCTCCAACTCCAAAACTATGCGTCCGATTGACTCGAAATTTGGAATATATACTCTTTTCTCGACGTAGACTCCCACCAGAAACGGATTTTACGAAATTCCTATCCAAAGCGGATTCGTCACACAAAAAAAAAAAAATCTTTCAAAAATTACTTATTATTCGTATTTGTAATCGAGCTGTCCAAGTATCCCTTAGCGAAAGTTTAAAATTCTTCTGCCTCCAGAGTTTCAATTTTATCTTTACATACCTATATGTAGGATTTATTTTAAGTTTCAGTAAAAATTATGATATTCAACTTTTATTAACGGTTAGAACATATGTGTTTGTTAGCAGCCGCCGAATAATTTATGGCTGATTTTATTGCTCGACTATGCTCCAGAAAAGTTTGATTTTCTCAAAGAAATACCGAAAGAGACCTTTTCGGACGGTCGTTAAAAAAATAATTCAATTAACTATTGAAATATAATTATGCTTTTGTACTAAAAAGGTTGTTTTTTATTATTTCCAGATGTGCCACAAAACAGAAAATATGGCATCATCAGAGACGTCAACGAAATTGTACAGCGAAAGTCAAGCGGCGGCTCCACCTTCTTCAAGGACACTTAACTTTTCTATAGCCAAGATAATGGAACCAGACAGCAAACAAAAGAAAAAAGAAACCGAAAAGGATAAAAGTCTTAGTTTCCCGTATTCGCCAGCGTTTGAGTCCGCTTTTAAAAAATACGTGCCGAATGTGCTGCGCTCGCCTGAACTTTTACAAAATTATCCATTAGTCTATTACCACCCTAGTCAGCTTATGTTGGGGTCGGTGTCTTTGTATTCACCTCCTGGACAAGAAAAAACTGGAAATACGCCTTCCATACCGCCACCACTGAAACCATCACCAAAAATACCACCAAGCAACAATAACAATAACTCGAACACATCCTCTAATAATAGTTCATCCACGCTGTTAACTCCCCCAAAACAAAAAAGTTTTGAGTGTGGAGAATGTGGAAAAGTTTTCAATGCACATTATAACTTGACAAGGCATATGCCAGTTCATACAGGCGCTAGGCCATTTGTATGTAAAATTTGCGGAAAAGGATTTAGGCAAGCCTCAACATTATGCCGCCACAAAATAATTCATACATCTGAAAAGCCACATAAATGCCATACTTGTGGCAAAGCATTCAATAGATCATCGACGCTTAATACACATGCTCGAATACATGCCGGCTATAAACCATTCGTATGTGAGTTTTGTGGCAAAGGATTTCATCAAAAAGGCAACTACAAAAATCATAAACTCACCCATAGTGGGGAAAAAGCTTACAAATGTTCAGTATGCTCTAAAGCATTTCATCAAGTATACAATCTGACATTCCATATGCATACGCATAATGACAAAAAACCATTCACTTGTCGCGTATGTGGCAAAGGCTTTTGTCGAAACTTTGACTTGAAAAAACACATGAGAAAACTTCACGAAAACTCTGGCGCAGTTCTAGAACCACCAGAATACGGTTCCGTATCTCAAAGCGGTTCGAGTGGTACAGTTTATCCACCAGAAAGAGATATCCATCATTTTATTAGTCCATTTATGTCGGTTCCTGTATATACTTCGAAACTATTGTGACCTTTGTATTAATAATTTGTATATTTAAATGCAGCATAATCTGAAATTTATTTTGAAGGCCTATATAATTTTGTTGTTTGATATTTTATTATGGGTCATTACAGAAGATATTATCAAAGCATTCCATTATCCGTCTATAGTATCTAGTATATTATATTATTTATTGAATTTAAAAAATATATGTACCTATATGCAGTACCTACTTTCTCCAATAACTACTAACTACATCGATTATTTACTGTAAGCGACAACGACCAAAATTCAAAAACTTATTTCGTTTATTTTGAAACATTTAAAATAAAAAATGTAGCTGAACCTTATTGGGCGTAGATTAGTCTGCCTCAAATCGCTAAAGTAGAAGTAGAGTCTCAACATTACCCAATTATTGATTTGACGATCGTCAAATCAATAATTGAACCTACTTTTGGTAGTCGAATGAAAATATGATTGTAATTTACTCAAGCACTGTCCAGCTCTGAATCAGTGTTGCCAATCTGAATTTGTGAAATTACACGATATGCTGGTCAAATTACACGTTTTTACACGCTTTCATTTCTCACAATTACACGATTTTTACACACGATCTTGGTATTTATTCTGTAACATCAAGAAACAAGTAGGTATTTTTTTTTTGTTAATTATGATTTTGGGAAATGGGTTAAATCCAGTCAAATCTGAGGGTTAATGCTCCTAATCATCGCTCCTCAACCAAAAATAAAGATGTGGCAACTACAAAAAAGCGTTCCGAAAGTAATCAAATCACTAATTACTCTGGTTCCTGGAAAGAAGGTTATTTTTGGACCTCAGTTTCCTGCAAGCATACTACACACTACTACTACTACTACAGGATAGCCTATCCCTTGCCTATCCTCATAAGGCCTGTGTGTAGTTCAAATCTCAAGCCCCCCTGCTATGCTAAAGTACCAGTGATAACGTAGGCAGCGTGTCATTTCTCGTCTTCCTTAATTACCATTATAAAACAACTCTTTTTCATATCTGGTTTGCTTTCTTCCGCTTCGCCTATAATCAAACTTAATTAACATTTTTCATCATAAATTCAAAACTACCGCTGACGCAAGCAGCTGACGACTTAGTTAATGACGTCGGCAATGGTACCAAACCATATGACCGCGATTACAAAAAAGGAGGCCTATAAGCAATCCCTAGTGTGTATTATCCTTGGCCATAAGGGTAGTCATTTGACAGATCATTTGTTATTGGAAAGCCGTGAAGCAGATAAAAATAAAGAAAATGTCAATGTTTTCTAATTACACGCAAAATACACACTCTTTGTTTAGGTTCGAAAAATACACGCAAGTCAATCAAAATACACGTGAACCGTGTAATTACACGCTAATTGGCAACACTGCTCTGAATATAAAGTGCGACAACTGAGTGAACCTTGGTAACATATGAAGTAGCAGAGGGGAAGACGAAACCTATACTATACGACGCGACGAGTCCCCGACGTGGTGCATTGCGAAAATTGCGGTTACCCTGACGCGACGACCCGCGTATATGTATATTTAATCTCGCGCCAATCAGGAGCGTTTTCCCGCATTCCTTCCACACAGGTTCACTCACTTGACGCACTTTACCTACTTCTTCTTAATATTCAAAATCCGATTTTCTTTTTCAAATTTATCAAAATAATAACTATTTTTATTGATTCTTGTACAAAATAATTATAGATAAAGAACTTTAAATAAATGACTATATCGTAGGCATATTTTTGTCAGAACGAATTTATTAATAAATAAAAAATTATGGTGTATCTTTCTTTAAGCTATACTTGTAAACGATTTTTGATCTCTTAATTCAATGTGCAATATAAAAATAGAAGAAATGTCTCGTGCGAGGCTGGCTTGTAATATTAACCTATATCCTGTAAAAAAAAATTATTTAATTTTAGGATTAATAGATAGTTTGTAAGTAAATGTTATTTAATACAAATTTGTTGTTTCATTTAATCCTTTCCCACAAATGAAAATAGGGTTTTTCAAATAAAAAACATAAATTCATTTAAAATCTCATTTAGACTGATCTATAAAACACTTCTTGTTAGCAAAACTTTCCGATTGAAATAACAGATAAAATTTCTCGAAACTACGAATTTATATTTCTCAATTCATGCTCTACTTTGTGAAATTCGATGCTGAATTTATTAAAGCAAACCAGCCCTTTATTCCGAAGCTAACTAAGTAGGTACATTTTGAATGAAGGTATCTATAAGGACTGTATAAGTTTTTTTTTATCGACTAGATGCCTTATTCTAAACACATAAGAAGCCCAGAATAAGTATAATGCCTGTCAAATATTCGATATTTTATGGAAGCTCCATGTAAAAAGTAGTCTTTGGGTTTACTTTAGGCTAGCTTTCAAGATACCCACATTTGCTTTACTTTTACCATGACATATGTCTCTTATTGCTTAACATTTTTCAATTATTCCCAAACTTTTCTCTTGTACATGTTTTGAAATGTATGTTAAATAAATAGTCTGCATTATATATGACTGAGTATACCTACTATTTCATAAAAAATGGCTACATTAATTTTATTTATGGTTGAGCAAGAAGGCGTTTGCATGCACTTTCAGACGGTTACTGCGTTCAGTCACAAGATTGAATCTCATGACGAAAAGGAAAACGCAGTTATGCAAAAGCAAAATAGGCTGTCGGTAATTTACAGTCCACATCCCAGATTTTGGAAAAGAAGTCTTGAGCATGAGAATCTCGAGGCATAAATAATCGGAAAGTCAGAAGCGAGTTGGATGTGAATCCTTAAACCATATGGAATATCTAAAAGGACGGTTCTCTATCTCTATCTCTATCTCTATCTCTATCTATCTCGGATCTCTATCCCTACCTTGCCTCGAGACTCTCTCATCCTACGAACCGGAGTACCACTCTTGCAAAATTTGATTCCCTTTTTTCTGTGTTCATCAATTTTAGCCGTCATACTTTGGTGCGAAGTCTGAATTTCAGTGTAGAATCTAGTTAGGTTAGATCAGCTCGAAAATGAGTGGGCCTATTATGATTCTCCACTGCGACTCATTGGCTCATGCCTATTTGTATTTCTCCAATCATGCCTATTTTTCCGATGAAGTCTCGGATAGTGGTTGGAGAGATGTTGCTCAGGGCTCCCAGTGGCACCGTTGATCCACCTAAGATACGATGCCTCAGTCTGCCACCTGCCGGACAGCTATCTTCTCGTCCTCCATGCATAGCCTGCACTCAGCATCATCTGCCAGTCCTGAGTGTTTTAGCCTACAGTTTCCAGTGTATAAGCCGATTAGAGCTTAGCTCCAGCATCTTTCCAACCGAGCGTTCTTTTACCGGTTGTCTCATGATTGCCTTTGCTTGTGTCATCCCTGGAAAGTTTAGCGAATGTTTGTAGGCATTGTTGTCCGCCCAGGATTTAATGGTTTGAATTGCCATGTTATGAGCAATGCCCAGCACTGGCTCTGGCCCTGTGAATTTGGTTTCGGCTCCCCCTCTGGCAAGAAGATCCGCCATTTCGTTACCCCCAAGACCAGCGCGTCCCGGTATCCACATCAGGGTTCCCTTGTTTTCCTTTCCTAATTGGCTAAGAGCTTCCTGACAGCTCCAGACTGTTCTTGAATCACAGCAGGTGGGTGAAGCTAAGCGCCTTGAGAGCGGTTTGGCTGTCAGAACATATTTCTATGGTTTTGTGCGTTTGGGGTCGATTTTGCAGCCTCCTCACACCCATTTCAATGCCATGCACTTCCGCTTGAAAGATGGTTGCATTGTTCCTTGAACTGAAGGATAAACTATTTTTCGGTTTTGCACCATAAACGCATGCTCCCGCCCTACTGTCAGTCTTCCACCCTTCTGTGAACAGAAATAGATCTGCTTTCAGTAGGGCATGCTCATTCTGCAACCACTCTTCCCTTTCTGGGAAAGCCACTGTGTAGGGTAGGGCGCTTGTTGTGTGTATTCTTTGATAAACTCCAGCAGCCTTCCACGGTCCGTTTTTCATACACTTGATCTCTGTTCGTGTATGGTATATTCTGTAGGTTGTTTTTAGGGCCTCATTGTCCAGATACACATGTATTGGTAATTTAATGAAATGCAACAATCCACTTGAAGGCCAATCAAATTAATATATTCTGAGAAATTAATTTCCAGCAAGCTAGAGATCATTTCAAAACCTCTATTTGGTCCCAAAAGCGTGTAATCTGAGTTTGCACTATCCCAGGTGGTGAGCTTAACTTTTGGTAGCCAAGAAACCGCCAAATTGTTGCACCATTTTAAGTTTTTTGCTTGTAGCTGGAAAACAGTTTGTCGGCCGGAAAATGTCATTTTATTCAAAACTACAGAGGACTAAATTCTGCGTCGATTGACATACAAAACTTCAAATTCGGCTAAGTGGTATAGCCGAAATCGAATGTTAGAAACGAAAAAAAGTCGTATTGCGGTGCAAATTTACATTTTGCGGCTTTCCAAGACCACATATCTTGAAAACAGATACTCCTATTGAAAAAATACGTGGAATGAAAGTTGTAGAGAATAAAATTCTACGTAATATAACTGCCTCAGGTTTTTAATTTAGTCAATTTTAAAACACTAAATTTTGCCTCAATTTAAAGTCTGGTTTTTTACTTTCAGATTGATGCGAGTGAAAAGTTGATTATACTTGAAAGAAAGTGTTATCATGTCGTGTTCTATTGTTTCAGAGATTATACGGCGTGTTCAAAATCTACAAACATAAATGACCCGAAGTGTTCAATTCGTGGTAAACCATTACATGATGAGGCCTCAACTACAGTAAAAGGAAGAGGAATAGAAACATTGATAAAAAGAAGTATAACAAGGAAGGATGAGAAGCACCTTCAACTTCAAGGTCTTGCTTCAGTTGTGATTTACGAAAGATGCAGGAAAATATATTCAAAGGAGAAAAGATGTGACGAAGAAAATCCCAACAGGCGTAGAGAGAGGCTCCCGACTTTTGATTTTAAGAAGAGATGTGTCATATGTGGGGAAGACGCATCACAGGAACTTGTGGCTAAAGAAAGCAATAAGCCTCTGAACAGGCGAGTTACCGTGCAGTATGTGTCAACAATTCAGTTTAAAAGTTCCCACTTGACTGCAGCTAAATGGTGGCAGGATGAAGAGGTACTTGAAAGAATTCATCTTGAAAATGATCTGGTTGCGGTAGAGGCCTGGTACCACCGCTCCTAGTGGCAGCATGAAGAGGTACTTGAAAGAATTCGTCTTGAAAATGATCTGGTTGCGGTAGAGGCCTGGTACCACCGCTCTTGCAGTATCAAGTTCCTGAAAAAAAATGGACTGTCAGTTGGCCGACCTGAAGATGAAGATGTGTCTCTGGCATTCAACTATATTTGCAAATACATCAAGGAAAATGAAGAGCAATGCCAATTCACTTTGTCAGAAATTTTGGAAGGCTTCGAAGGCTTTGTCCCAACTCATAAATCCCTGATGAAAAAACTGAAAACAAAGTATGAAGACGACCTTATTTTCACTAGCGGAAGGGGTAAAAATAAGCCAACTGTAATATGCTTTCGAAATACAGGTTACAAAATTTTAACTCAGTCTTGGTATGACTCCAGGAATGTCGACGAAAAAGAAAAGCGACTTCGCATAGTGAAAGCCGCCGCTGCCATAATCCGCGAGGATATTAGGTCAGTGATTTATCCCCTTGATAGTTACCCCAAAGTAGACGAATTTTTGAAGGACGTTGAGAATGACATTCAAGAAACCCTTAAGGTACTTGTCAGGTCAATTGTAAACCCCAAAAAGGAAAAAATACCTTCCGCTCAGCCTAAACAAAAAACGAAAACCTGTGCTATTGCTCACGCAATAATTAATGCTGCGAGACCGCGGTCCTTTCTGTCCTCACTGCTCGTAGGACTTGATGCAACGCTTCATCAGAAGTACGGATCAAGAGAACTCCTGGATGTGTTATCAAGTAATCAAGTCTAAGGTTTTCTTGTTCATATTTCGAAGTTCAGCTGTTTCAAGCATCTGTCCTTCAAGACCCACCACAGGTCGTTCTGGAAAATTCTTTTAGCCAGTGGGTGCGTGAGAATGCTGATGTTAACGTTGACACGATTGACAGCTTCATCACATGACATGCTATGGGTGGGCTCCAATGTATAACCCCTGTCTCCTCAGCCTGGTCAGAGGCAAGAATTGAGAGATTGAGAAAGGTATCCAAAGCCAAGGAAACTGGGGAAATTGGAAACATACCCTTGGTCACCTTTCAAAAAAACAAGCAGGATGGCCTTAAGTCAATTTGTATCTATGATGTAACCGTACGAAGCCCGATCGATGCGATAAAACCCTCAAGCCAGTGACTTCTTGTGGTTGTATGGAAAATGGAGAGAGCACCCAGACGTCCCAGGGTGGAACGGATTCATGTACAAGATTACCTCTCATCAGTCATTTCAGAAGTCTCGTACTTCGTGCCTACCGTTCCTGAATGCACCTCCAGGAACCCCTGACACTAAATACTCTATTCTACTTGATTCAGTTAAACGAAGAGGTGATAAACAAAAATGCTACTTCGTGACGTTTGACCAGCCTCTGTATTACAAAGCCAGAGAGATAGTGGCTTCTTGCAATTCTGAATCTCCATTATCATCAGTAACCGTGCGCCTATGTGGCTTCCACCTCCTGATGTCTTTTATGGGGGCTATTGGATACATAATGGATGCAAGTGGGCTGCAGGATGTTCTTAGCACCATTTACGCAAGATAGTCCACAGAAAAGATGCTGACGGGGCACGCATATTCAAGAACTGTCAGGGGTCATATTTTAGTTCACCAGGCATTGACAAGAACTATATTGTCAACAATGACCATAACTGACCACAATAATCAGGCAATAATAGATACGTTGAATAATATAGGAGCTCCACATTTTTTTCAACTTCTGGACCAACCAGCACTCATGAGCATTATCCAACAATTTTACGAGAAAATGTCAGAGCTTTAGCAGAATGGACCTACCGCAAAGCTGCGGGTGCAGTATTTCTACATGGTATCCATTGCAAGCAGTTCATAGAGGCTGAGCGAACTGGCAATTGGCAATTACATCTACAGTCGGTGCAACGGATGTTGCCGTACTTTCATTCCAGCGGTCACTTTTTATATGCTAAGTCATGCTAATTGTACCTCCAAGACAAGATGATGGATTTGAAACAAAATATCTTGCCTGATGAATATAACAAATTTGTGAACCGAGGTTTCTTCACCATCAGAAGGTCTGACAAGTTTTGGTCTGGTGTGTTTACTGATCAGACTATTGAGCAGGTCGTCATGAGGTCTCTAAAAGCCCAAGGTGGGCTGTCACATAGGGCGTGTTTGGGTTGACGCTCGGCGGAGCGAGCAGAGCGATTATGGAGGAACGTGACGTCACAGGGAGTACACCGTGTCAAGCCAAATAAACTTGTGCAAAAATGCAGGGTTGAGCGATCAGCTGATTTACTGTTTATTTTTCTTAGCATATATTTTTTGGAGACCGAGCCCGCATTCCGCATTTGCACCAGAGTTTTCTCGTTTGTTTTGTATTATACTCGATAATTTTCAAACAGCCCCATTTTCTTTTGTATTCTGCAAAAAATGTCGTGCTACATAAACAATAAAACGGACTTAAACACTCTGAGGCTGCCAAGTTCCCTTGAAAAAATATGTTCAATAATACCAGTGATGAGGACTATCGAGAAAATTTAATTAAAACTAAGCAATTATGCAGAATTTACTAGCTATTTGATTGTTAACATTTAAACAAAATAGCTAAAACTATCCATCTAACAAGTATATGTTAAAATTCAGGATTGTTTATTTATCTTATCATGGAAAATAGTTTAGGTTATACAAACAAAATAGAGATTAAACTGCGCATGCACGCTCTAGCTGCCCACCCCACAAACTTGAAGTTTATCGAGCTCGCTCTGAGCGCTCAAAATATGTCAAACCAAGCACAATCAAGCGTCGTCGGAGCTTCAAAAATAACGGAAGAGAGACAAAAGTGCATGCTCTGAGTGCACCGAGCGTGAACCCAAACGCGCCCATAGACGAGGCATAACGGACAGTAAACTGGTGACTTGGGTTGCCACAATGCCTACTATTATGAAAATTTCTGTACAAGTGGAAGACTTTTGTGGTGTCAAGTATGGCACTTCAGAGCAGCACGTAGACGCTAGGTTCTCAAGTGACAGAGGGACGATGCAGACATTGCAATTCTTCTTGACTGGTTTTCATCTCATGATCCCTTTCCACTAGGACAATTTGTGATGTCCATTGCCACAGGAGTAACTGGCGATGAGAAAATTGATTCCCATGAAGCGTTTGAGAAAGGAATTTAGAGTATTGCTAAGATTATTGGCAACGACTTCAGTAATGTCAAGTTTCAACGAAAAAACAGAGTGGTTCCTCTTAAAAGTTTCAACTCAAAAGTAAGAATTCACGGCGAAGATATGCCAGTAAACCCGGATACACTTTTTCGATGCATAACACTTCTAAAAAAATCAGAGGAACAGTTGAGAGCTTCTTTGAGTTTGAGTTGGCTCCTTATCCCCTTTCTATCTTTGATGAAACAGGAATGCGGGAAACAATAAAATCTGTGTTCTACGATTTATTTTCACCAGTGTCCGATCCTCGAAACTTTGCAGATAGTGCCATTGTATTTGATGATGGTTTCCTTTTACATCGAGTGGTTTGGCAATCCAAGGAAAAATTTCCAACAATTCTCCTAAAATATGTGGACTACGTTAAGAAAAAGTACAATCCTGCCAGTACAACCATCGTTTTTGATGCATGGCTATCCTGATGCAGCATCAGTAAAGAGTACTAAATCAGCTGAGCGGCTTCGCCGTAAAAGCAAGTCCTCTTCTGCAAATGTGGTGTTCACTGAAACGATGAACGCAACCATGCCGAAAGAACAATTTCTCTCCAACAAAGAACGGCTGATTTCTATGCTGCGTGAGAAATTGGTACAGAATGGATATAAAGTAAGGCAAAAATCCTTTTCACATGGCTCCGGTTTAACAAACCGCAACATACCGCTCAAATTCGAGTGGTATCGATCACTTCACTTTGTAACCGGGTTAGAAAACGGTATGTCATATTTGACATACCGCTACTAATCATTTCGTAACCCGGTAAGTTTAAACCGGACCACGTGAAAAGGACTAAAGTGTTGAGGATGCTGATACCCTCATTGTCAACACTGTCATTCAGTTGACAGATAACTTTGCGACGCTCATCATAATCTGGGAGGACACCGATTTATTGATTCGTGAAAAAAACACGACATTACAAGAGACTATCAAGGTTTTTCATCATGAAGATGCAGATCCTGAGTTTCTGAAATTTTATCATCTGTATCATCCATAATTTTCTCTAGAACATTTGAGGGATTGAGTAGGTAATATCGAGATAGAACGTAACTGACTAAAATCTGTTGGAGAATCAACCTTGGGGAGAGGAACAACATTCGCCTGTTTCCATTTTAAAGGAAAGTACCTACGAATTTTCAATACATGTGTTGATAATATGTGTTAAAAGACGTACCTAATACTACCGGACAGCAGAGCAAAATTAACATGTTCAGATTATCAGAGCCAAATACTTTAGTTTTAATAATTTTCAAAACATCCATGATAAATTCCTCTGAGACCAGAGAAACAGAGAACACATGTTCAATAGTTAACCTGTTATTATTGTAAAATCAAATAAGCTCCGCATTAGGCGGATTCGCATATTTGGAAACTTCTGTAAAATACTTGTCGTTTATCAACATCTCTTAAATTTACCGGAAGATTACGAAGTTTTTCTGAGCAAACATTTATTTTCTTTAACTCCTGCCATTTCTGTCTCTGGATACAGTTGTTGAATTTGAAATTCAAGTAAGCTCTTTTTTCTGCTCTTATTGCAGAAGTTGTTAAGTTGCGAAGCTCCTTGTAGTACTGCCAATGCCCAGAATTTTTTGATCTTTTGAAATTATTAAAAGCTTTGTTCCTGAGTGTCTGCATATACCGAATATTTGGAGTAATCCAGGGTTGATATGGTCTTCTGTTGCCTTTCACTTTTTTTTACCAGCGCATGAATATTAAAGATGTCCAAAATACTATTTGTAAAAAAAATACCTACTTTATCTTCTATGTCCCCCATCCTATACATTACTTCCGATGGAAGATTAGCAACATCGTGTAAAAATTGTACCACATCTATGTTATGTAATTGTCTGTAAATAAAATTGTAAGTTTTTGCCTTCGTTTCGCCCAATTCTAAATCGCAAAAAACAAGCATATGATCAGATATTTCCATATCTTTAACTCCAGAACTATAAGCACTAAAATTGCAAAATACTAAATCAATGAGAGTCGATCCTGTGTAAGTCATCCTTGTCAGGGGCGTCGCGTCGGGAGGGGTAATGGGGGTAATTACCCCCGCCAGGATCGAATTTTCAAGAGAAAAATCTGGATGCCCAAAAGAAAATACGTAATATATTGAAAAAAATACATTTTTGTTTTGTTTTATTTTTCTCACAAAGGAAATAATTGTTCTGGAAAAGTGAATGACCTTGAAATTTGCAAAAAAATTTGCCTGCGGCCCGTTTTTGGAGGGTGCCCCCTAAACCTCCCTGTACCAACCCCCCCCCCCCCCCCCCCCCAGACTGCTGGTCACGCATCGCCACTGATCCTTGTTGGCTCAGAAATAATTTGTTTGAGCTTACATGCTTTCATTATATTCAAGAGTGAA